TATATATATATATATATATATATATATATATATATATATATATATATATATATATATATATGCTCGTGTCAGCATCAATCTCTCTTTTTAGAGCCTGAGTGCGTCCAAACCTTGTCTTTGCTTAGTTAGAAAAGTTATATTTAGAAATATTGCAAGCACAAAGTCTGGGCTGAGGGGCTTTACAAACAAACAACCAGAGGAATTAAACATCTTGCTATGTATTTGACAGTGTGGGGTCCTGGAACTATGCATCTGACTGCTGAGGTGTCCTGGCTACTTGGCTGCAGGTTTATCCCTTTTTCCCTTGTTGCGTGTGTATAGGATAATTTCTTCCATTTCACTGAATTAATCCTAAACTCTGACTTTATGTCCCCTTGCAGTTTCCTACCAGTTTTCTGTACAGACAAGCCCTAAATTTCATCATCTTCCCAGTGACCAAAGACTTGCAGCCAGGATGATCATTACTCAAAAGTCATTTATCCCAGAAATTTTCATCCAGAATTCTCCAATCAGATTTAGTGTTAATCAAGTGAGACAATCTAAAGCGAAACTAGAATCTTTTATTGCTGCAGAGCCTACCTCACTCTTGGCTCAAAGTAATGCTGATGTTCCTGACTTCACTCCCCCCCTTTTCAGAGCTCAGACGTTGAGGCGTTTATTGTAACTGAAGATCATTGATCTAAAACAGAGAAATTATTCTTTTCAAGACAACAAGTAGAGGTACCAGTGGAATCACAGTAAAACGAAGAATCTCATGTGGTACAGGCCTTTGGTAGCAACAAGAGCAATGACAACAGAAATACCTGCTAGTTTGATCTGAGAGGACTTCGTCTTTGCATAAAATGGATATTTATTGACACCTGGTGGCCAAAGCTTTAAAATAGTGCCTTGGTTGTTTAATAACGTTTAGAAACCTCTTAACATCCACCTAGTTTTAAGTAATCCTCGCCTATTTTGCATACTCAAATCGAAAAACAAATAATTTAGGAACTGTAAGCCCAAATTACAGGTGTGATACAGCATTTGGAAGCTTCTAGTTTCTGAAAATATAAATGAAAATAGTGACCAAAACACATTCTAAACTGCATCAGTTCAAACATAGCTCAAAGTTGTTTCTTTTTCTTCTCAAAAACGACAGGTCTTTTTTGAACAGCAGTAACAAAGACATGTTTGAGAATAGGCACATGTCATTGTATTGCATTTTTTCTGTATCATGTCAACTACAACTGCAGAATATTTCAGGCTAGCTATAACAGTTCCAGGCCTGCACAGGAAATAAATCAAGATCTAGATAAATATTTTTTTTCTTAAAATAAATGTATTTGTTCTTGAATTGAGGAGCTAAAAGAGACATTTTGCCAATGGAACAAGAGAACTTACATTAAAAATAAGAAAACCCAATTAAATTGTCTTGTTTCAAGGGCATATTATCTAATTATCTTATTTTAAGAGTAAAAACACTCATTCCATTGGCAAATAATCTTATTTAGCTGCTCAAATTAAAGGTAAATCCACTTAATTTAAGAAGAGTTTTACTTATTTCTAGATAATTTTCCAGTGTGTGGGGCTTTAAACTTTTGGTGTCACCAGCGTCTCGAAACCTCTCCAAATGTGTCAAATTTTGCCAAATGCCTTTACTTAACTATTTGACCGATGGAATAAAACTGAAGCATTCTGATTGCCACAAAACATTTATGAAGCAAGTATTTTTCCACTTATTTTCAGTTTCGTCTGATGATTGACTGGTGAGGTTACCACCCATCTCATCTGAACATATGGTTTCTTGATTAATCTTTTTTCAGATATAATTCAGAACATATAATGAAAAAAAAAAGACAAACCACCTTGAACTAAATTAAAATTATTTTAAATCTTAATTTAAATTTAACCAAACTAGCAAACGTGTCGTTCAAATGAAAAGTGGTTTTACAGTATGTAGTAAAGCTTGCCTGTCGGTTGATTTGACAAATACCTTAATGTCGAAATTTTGTGTTTAGAATGTTTTAACTTATAATTCAGTTCAATTGAAAAATACCTTATAAATTCAAAGAGAAACTAAATAATATCATCTAAATAAATAACTGCAGCTATGTTAGTGTGAATTGCTTCTGTAAAATCATTCCTATCACTATAGATCTACCCTCTAGAATCCAGAATGGTTTGTTGTTGAATCTTTGTGAATCCAGGGCATGTTTGGTGGAGCCTGATAAATAAGTTTTCTCTTTATCAGTAATTAATTATTTCTAGTACAAATTATGAATAAGTTTGGTAATCAGGTGGGCTGCACAGAGGCGCAGTGGGTAGCTCTGCCAGGGGTCTTAATGCACGGAGTTTGCATGTTCTCCCGTTGAATGTGTGGGTTCTCTCAGGGTACTCCAGCTTCCTCCCAAAGTCCAAAAACATGACTGTTAGGTTAATTGGCTTCTCTAAATTCTCCTTAGGTGTGAGTGTGTGCTTGAATGGTTGTTTATCCTGTTTGTCGCTGAGTTGCCCTGTGATACATTGGCGACCTGTCCAGGGTGGACCCCGCCTCTCACCCGTAGACAGCTGGAGATAGGCACCAGCACCCCTCGCAACCCAGCCGGGAAAAATGTGACAGAGAATGGATGGATACAGGTGGATCTGTCAAATGCTCTTGTTCCCCGTCTGGGTTTTTATTAAAAATAAGGCTAATCACACCCTTCTATGGTCCCAATAAAGCTCATACCTGCTAACCCGTTCCAAATTTATATCTAGCAACCCTCTGTTGGTGTAAATGTCAGACCTGTACGGATTGTCAGTTTAAAATGTTCAGTAAGGTTAATCACAGTCTAACCGCCCCACCAGTTCAGTCTGGCTGGTGGAAAAATTTCCAGCAGCTTTTCCGCTGACATTTGACTACAACCTTAATCAACATGGCTTCAGCTTGATCCCACAACTCTTTAGAAAGCTGTCCACTGAGAGATCCTCATCCTCCACTGGTGGATTAGTGATCTCTGATGATCCACTTCTTTCTGTTGACATGTCTTAGGTTGTGGCTGTGGGACTCTGTTGCGAAATCCCAAGCGCAGTTCTGTGAGAGACAGGAGTGATGACATCTCTAGAGGAAGAAGAAAATCTTTAATGTTTTCAATGTTGTGGTAAGGGTTGTTCCTGGTATCAATGCTCCCGTCAGTTTACACTGAACCAGCTGGGGAGTGGAAGGAAACATATCAGGTGTTCTACCATCATCATCCTCATCTGTAAGGATGCCAGTCTGACCTTGAATGTCAGCTGCAAGTGTTTTAAGATTAGCATCACCCTCAGTTGTGCTGCACACTGCAAAAAAAATAAATAAATAAATAAAAAAAATCTAGAAATGAGCAAAAATGTCTTTAATTAAGTGTATTTACCATTAATTTCAGTAGGTAAATAAGATGATTTGCCAATGGAATGAGTATTTTACTCTTATAATGAGATAATTAGAATATGGATTTGAAATAATTTTTCCTTATTTTAAATGTAAATTGTCTTGTGCACTTATTGTAAGAAGGGCTTATCTCGATTTCAATTTCTTGCAGTGCAGTGTTGCTATTCCACCGTCCTCCATTTTGTCCTTTGCTTTCTCTGCTGGAACCACTGAATCCTTCAGGATGAGAGGTGATTCAGATGGCAGGAAGGTTTGTTTAGTTCAGGATGAGGTCCCGTGTCACTCAATGGTGACCAACCTGATGGATCCATCATGGAGGATAAATCTTGTCTATGTGATTTCTATTCATATATCTATGAATACATCTATACCATACAGTTCATGTGCCTTTCCCCCATTCAAACCAACTAGTTCAAGCCAGGAACTCTACATGGGCTGATCCCTTAAACAATCAACACCATACCAGCAGGTGCTGCTTTAAAACGTCCTTCCCCTCTAAGCAAGACAGAGTCTCCTAAGATGTCCCTGAACCAACGGTCCTTGCTCAGTCAGAGAAGCAGAACCAAAAATAAGGCTAGAACCCTAGGTTTGAAAAACTGCAGTGAGGAGAGCAGGTCTCTGTTATGAGTCAGCTGATCCAAATTCACTGAGGATCTGAGATCAGGCAATAACATCAACAAGCTCATAAACACCAGTAAGGCTGAGGAGGACTGTGTCCAGAACTCTCAGTGAAATAAAAAAGCTGTAAGATTTCTAAGATTTCTTTTAGGGTTTCTGGCAGTCTGAGTTAAAGTATGGTTTGGCTGCTTGCTGAGGTTTCATAATATACTGTCAACCGGGGATAGTAGGTGGGATTGGAATAAAGTTATCTCTACACTTTTGACAGAGGATATCTTCTGAGTTATTTCAAGTTGTATCTTAGAAACCCATCGGGTGAATGTAGGAGGGTGGATATAGAAACATTAGCCACAAAAAAGCTAATCAGATTTATTGGACGACTCTTAAACGAGCACTGAACAATTTTAAATAACTTTAACTGCAGAACATATACTGGCTTGATATCTGCTTTTCAGATGACCGTTTAGAAAAGTTTTTGTCTGGTTCAGAAAATGTAATCTTTTTGCTGCTTTTCTGCTGTTTAACTTCCGTCCAGCAGGGGGCGCTAAAAGGAACAAGCAGCTGCTTTGTGTCAGTGTGACACTCAGCGGAAGTAAAACAAAACACTGCTATGGTAGCTAGCTTGGTAACAGCTAGCAGTCGGTTGTTTTCGTATCTCGGCTGAATGTTTCAGTAACAATGTGTTCAGTTCAGCATTTAAGAGTTTATCAGAGAACGACTAACTGCTGCTGAAGTCACCGCTAAGTCTTCACATTGTTGAAAAAAACATCAAAACATCGTTCGCTACAAAGGAAGACACCAGGCTGCTGGAAACCTCAGATTAAACTCCAGAAATCGGTAGGAAGCTTCAGAAAGCGCCTGATATATCAGTTAGTTACGTTATAATCTGAGCTCTCAGCTTTAATAACATTGTTCTGACGATTTACGGCTGCTCCATCAGAAAGTCACAACTGGTCGAAATTCACAGCAGCTGTTTAAGTCAAATATAATAAAGTAGCGGAATTAAAGCGGCAGTTCTGTTTAGCCCCTGAACTTATAAATGTATTGGGATACAGAAGAATGTTGCAGATGATGTCTGGAAGCTAATTAACCCGGTGTAATAGATGAACTGGTTAGAATTTATGCGCACCGCAGATGTTCTTAAAGCATAGGCGGCTGTGTTGATGCCTGATGTAAAAAAAAAAAACATAACAAAACTGTTCGCAAAAAATCAACCAGACATATCTAGCGAATGGATTTATGTTTTTTTCAGTTTAGAAAAAAATGGCAAAGAACTTGTATCCTCAGAAAAGCAAATAGTGAAAATAATTCCACACAAAGAATAGTGTCGTTCACAAGTGTACAGAAAAATATAAATAAAAGTCTGTCCCACGATGGAGTGTCATTTCTCCTGCTGAACCATAAGCTATATATCAAAACCTGCAGCTTGGAGGAGCAAGTCAATGTAAATTCCCACTATATAAATTCCTGATTGTAAATATAAATCCATGTAAGCCTATCATTCAGGATGCAACACATGTGTAAGCAACTTTTTCAAGAAAAATGACTGCAAACGGAACTATTCTCATCCTTCCTTCCAACTATTCTCACTTTATTTTACAAATTGTGACAAAAAGTAATTTTCTTTTTATTAGATTCCATGCTTTCATGTTTTGTTGATTTTCTTGTTTGGACACAAATACAAGTCTTTACAAAGGTATTTTTTTAGGATCCCCAAAACTGTCCTGTATGATGACCTGTGTCATTTCACACAAACAGTGATTTAAGGAAAGAAACACCTATAATTGTAATGCTATTGTGTTCAGTCTGTATGCAATTTCAAGTTAGGAGACCATAATGGCTCCTTCTGAACTGGTTTTACTGGCCCATATGTACAAATGAGGTAAATATATTTAGGCGCATTTCAGGTAATCACGTACCTGCTGATGCAGAAAGATTACTTTTTATGTAATTTTTTATGACAGTAGAATATAAATCCCAGAGTTAGCAGCTACCACTGCGTTGTATCACACGCCATGGGTTCTTGATATTTTTTCATGTAGAAAAAGGCAGATAAGAAATCAGTAAGCAATCAACTAGATATATTTGTGACTAACCGGGTCCATAACACAGCTATTTGGACAGATTAGGTGTCTGGTGGTTGCCCGATCACATTCAATTCAATTCAATTCAATTCTGTTTATTTATATAGCGCCAAATTCACAACACATGTCATCTCAAGGCTCTTTACAGTTCAACCAGATCATACAGTCAAATTGATACAAATTGATACATTGCTGCAAAAGTAAACAAACGGGTCAGAATAAATGTAATAATTTATTTTGGCCTAAGATCTATCCAAAATATTATATATATTTATAAAATGATAAAAAGAGGGAAAGTCCAACAGACTGTGCTGATGCAAACTGGCCTGTCCCTGAACACATTGTTATGTTGCTCACCTGTCACTGGGACAGGGAGGGAGGTGGGGGGTGGTTGAAGAAACAGGGCTGCTGGTGGATCATCTATTTACTTTGTGGAGGACAAAGTTTCAAGAATTTATTGTCATTGTCAAAAAAAGGCAACGAAATTATGTTTGGGGTACAATACTTAGTAGCAGCAAGTTCCAAGTAAAGTGCACAAGAGGTAAAAGTGACACCCCCATCCCACTTAAAGTGCAGCAAAGATTATTAAGTGCCATAATGCTTGCCCCCCCAACACACGCACGCACACACACACACACACACACAC